AAGATCATCGGGAAATATCAGTCAGTGCTTATTTCTGGCCCAAGTTGAGACTGGTTATGAACTAGCTCCTAGATGCAGCAGATATCCTCTGCCCTTGAAAACCAAAATATTATCAGCTTTGTATCCATACTCATATAGTGTAATTAGTGTCTTAGGAAAAATGATAATGTCTAGACAGACAATTTTACAGTCTATCTTAATTACAGAGAAAGGGAAAGAGGAAGGGAACTACCACGGCCTCTCAGAGTCCCAGCCATCTTTCTGCCTCCCTGCTTTACAGAAGTAGAAGGAACCCTCCAATTATGCACTGTTAAATTTGTTTACAGCATTAGGGATGGTGTTACATGAAATCTTATAAACACTGCAACTCTTAGTATCACTTTTTCTTCTTTTTTTCCACCTTGGTAAAGGATGTATATAGCCAGCTAACATGGCGTGGGCGAGGCATCACAGATACCTATGGAGGGAACGTGTGGATTTCTTTTTTTTTTCTACCTATTACCCTTATCCTTTTTAGTTTATTTTCTTTCACATGTAATTTTGTTTTTCATTTTATTCTGTCTTATCTATTCTATTCCTTTTTTTAATTTTATTCATTTTTTGAAGGTAATTATGTTAATAAATAAATAACAAACCTACATAAAAAGAGAATCAAAATAATCTTTTTGTCTCATATATCTTTATATACCAGACAGATGCACTGTAGAGGAAAGTAAAGGGGGTTGCATGTACTTAAATTGCAGGAGACTTTGAGGACTGTGGTGTTGAGATGAGGGCTCTCCAGGAATCCAGGGATTACCTTCTGGACTTGAACTTCTCTAATCAAAAAGATCAATATGACTTCACAGCACTTTGTTGTGATGACACAGGATCCTCCTATAATTTATCTGGAAGCTTTTAGCAGCAAATCTTGCACACCTGAGACCTCTGTGCACAGCAAGGAAAAAGATATCGGATTACTCAGTTTTGTTAATCCACCCGTTTGTCAGCTTTCTCATTTACCCCTAAATAAACCCTCTAATTGCTGGCATGGAGAGGGAGAGATTCCAAGCTTCCATGAAGCAGCTGCAGACCTGCCTCTGTGAAGAGCAGCAGCACTAAACTCACCGCAGTAAACCAAGTAGCACTCAAGCCATCCACTTTCCAGGCCAAGCAGTTTGTATGTCTCACATAATTTTTGGTAAAAGCTTCACCTCTCCTGGAATGTTTCAAGTGAATGCCCTTGACATCAAGCGTCTTTTTTTTTACCCGTCTCCCTGTCACACCTACCGCATTATTGTGTTGTACCCACCCCCACCCCTTTCCTCAATTACCTTTGACAACTGTTCTCCAAATTCATCCAACTTCTGCTGCAGTGGTGTCTTCTCTGTTTCTGTGTCCATCATTTCATTTCTGATTTTACCTGAAAGTAGGGTGAAAGAAGCAAAACTTAAGTGATAAATTTTATATCATTAAAAAGCAGCTATATCAAGAACAAGGCCAACAATTTGCACTTCACTTTATTAATTCAAATCAAGGTACTTTGGGCTCAAAAGCAGAGGGCTTGTGCTAAATGGTTAACACAATGTAGTTCATTACAGCAGTTTCAATCCATGTAATTGTGTTTTCCCTTTCTCTTTTTTTCTCCTCTCATTTCTAAAATGCTTTTTCCTAATGAAATTGCTTTGATGCCTGAAATAAAAGATGGTAGCATTTAAGTTGTCTATAGCCTGGGCTCAACAAGGGTATATCTATATCCTCCATCCCCTATATATCACAAGGCAACATAGAGGCCTATGAAATAAATGGTAGGTATGATGTATTTGACAGTTGCCTGATATAGGGCTGTGCCAGCAAAGATACACAGCATGGTCAATCTGATACAGGTAATAAAACTACCAACCTTAAGAACAACCTTTGCAGTGCCACATTTGTCTAATCTTTATATGTTTTCAGGCCTTTAGACTCATTCTAATGTATTGGTGTAAAGATGCCTTAGTAATGGACCTTTCTAACATGCTCTTTTAAGATGCATTATCAGCTTGTGAGTATGTTTGCATTCCTTATTTCAAGACTGTGCACCTTTTTTCCTTTTCATACTTTTTTCACAACTGTTACCAGTGATATAACATACATCTATAACCTTCATTTTTCTCCATTGCAGTCTTATTACACAGACATAATTCTGGACTTCATATCTGTATGCTCACCACAATTCATGAGAGTTGTTTGGTCAGGTGGAAGAAGTCCATTACACGGATTATACTGTGATCATCAAAGCAAAAGGTTAAGGGAATACACTTGATTTAAAGTGAGAAGGGCATGACCAATGGGAACGAAGTTGAGCGATATCAAGTCATCGTTGACATGGTCGAGATGGAGAGCAATACAGAAGATGTATTATTAACATCGAGGTTCTTTGTCACATTACAGCTAGAGAACTGAAAAGGTATCTAAATGTGCCACTGAAATTTAACAACCACAAATAGACAGAGCTTGTTACAGTTTTTTTTTTTAATTAGGACATACAGCAGCTGTAAAAACCAATCATGTGAGCTAAACATATAAAGAATGTATTGAAGATCTAAATTTTTTATTTGCTTTTTTAAAAGAATATAACGTACTAACAAAAGTGTTCTCCCATTGAATGATCAGATATGTTTTGGGAGGATGCTTAGTGAGATACGCCTGAGGGGAAAACTAAAGGAGAACTGAGGTTCTATTAATAATTTCCTTTTTTCCAATCTGGTCCTAAATCCCCCACATACAATTATGCCTCCCCCCTTTTTTTACAGACAAAAACATTGAAAGAGTTCTTTGTTGCTCTTTTATTCTTTAGTCAACCATGAACAGAATGATGACATTTTCTCCATCTAAGATTTCAAAAAGATGACTACAAACCATCACATCACGCATCATTCCCCAAATCTTGGAAAGCCTCTTCGGACTTTGTTAATTAAACACCCCCGAGGCCTTGTAGCCAAACAAATAAAAGCTGCCTATGGTAAATCTTACTGACACTTGGCATTTACTTGTTTTATTTCAACCCTACAGAAGATTAACATCTAAGCCCAATCAGCCTGGATTCATCATGTTCTGACAACTTTTTCCAATAAGATCATAAAACAGTTCTTTTAAATAGAAAGCAACGGATGATTGCCCTCAGGTAAAAAAAAAGGGCTTTTCATCAAACACCTGCCATTGTGGAATTACTAAATGCAAAACAATTGTTTTTCTGAGGTTGAAAAGAAAAAACATTGGTTTTCAGTTGTTTGAAGTGGTGTTATCTTCTACATGGGGATGTTCTCTCGTACAGTGTACATGTTTATGTGATCATAATTCTTTTTTGAAATGAATTTATTGAAGTAAGTGATAGGTGGAAGTGACAGCAACTGACTGAAAAATCTCCGATTCAACAGTATATTATGCCTGTGTTTCGAGGTAATCTGATCATATTTCTATATTCTCAAGGCTGCAGGTTTCTTTGAATTTCTAACATTACATAGGTTAAGCAAAAAAACACATGGCAAATCCTTGCCACAAAAGTGATGAATAAGAAAAGTCCATCAAATGTTACTGCCACCACAAATACATTTGACAGACAGAATAGCCCATCGCCAGGACCAGATCAATAACTGAGGTTAAAACTTATAACACAGTAAGGACGTTTGCTGGGCAAAATTAATATGAATTTTTTTCCTCATGACAGATGAGCAATTCACATTTGACACATCTTCAGCTGCAAGCAAAAATATCAATAAAACATCACATCATTCTCAAGAGGACAGAAAAAGTGAACAAAGCCAAGTTTTATCAGGGTTTTGAACAAAAGAATAGACACGATTGTAGAGTTTCCTTTGAACTCCAAACCAGGCAGTGGTGTTTGCCTCATAGATTTTTAGCAAGTGAGTGACACAGTATGAAAACTAGTAATTTATACACAGCGCAAAACTCCACACCTACCAATTTCAGTAGTTAATCCGGTTCCAAAGACAATACCTCTGCACTTTCCAGAGGCAATATTGGTGCCCTATAAAAAAACATAAACAATTTCTAACAGCACTGGGCTAATAACTTTCTAAACAAATCCATTATTTGTTTTCCGACATGCTCTTTATCTGCTTTATTTAATCTTTGGTATTTCAAAAAATTAAGATTGAAAAATCACAATGAGAAACCAGTCAGCAAATAGTAAAAAGAAATTTTGTATTTGCAGCTTAAATACCATAGACATGCATGAAGACCTTTTATAATGCATTGCACATACATGACAACAATACTCACAGAGAAGAGAATGTTCTTCTTGTCCTGATTGACAGCTCTTTCATCTGGGATGGGTTCAGTGTGCTTTATGATGCTCACACTTTCACCTGAAAGCAGGAGTTAATACAATAATAATTTATATATAAAAAAAGGAATAACAATCATTAATTTCTTAAACACATGCTACATGCTGCTTGTCCCAGCACTGTTTAAAAAATTTGATATTATTTCTCAATCAATTGGGAATCGATTCAAAATAATATTTCTACGACTGTCCTGAACATATTACTTCAGTGAGTTAATTTCTCTCACACAATGTGCTAGATCTTCAACAACATGCTGTTCATTTGGGTCTTACCAGATGTCACCAAGTACGAGTGCTGGTATATATTGACACAGGATTTGAGCACTTAAAATATTTAAAAACCAAACCATGTTAACTTACCAGTAAGGATAGACTGATCTACTCTTATGGTTGTGGAATGGATCCTGATAATACGAATATCTGCTGGAACCTTATCACCAACTGAAAAAAAAAAAAAATCAGAAACTGCACTTCTGTCAGAACTTATGTTTACATTAGTAAGCATACCTTTCTAGGTAAGCCATCAACCATACATCAGGAGTATGTGAGAGAGATAAGAATCCCAAACTAAAAAAAGACAGCATTTTCTATATTTAAGAAGTGTCCATTTTATTTCCTTAATGATGTTTAAATGCCTATGAACGTCAGATGTATGTAGTGTCTGGAATGTGTCTGAAACTCATTCTATGTTGATCTAATGTTAAGCCTCCAGGCAGCAGAACCATAATCTAGCAGATGTCTTGACTGAAGTATGAACAGATCACCCCATAAGACCAGTAACTCATTGAGTGTGTTATCTGGACAGGGGTTATTATCCACACCACGTCCATCACTGACCAATGAAACTGACCACAGGTAAACAGCAGTTAAGTAGCCCTTAACTGATGGTGTGTATTGATGAGCCTACACACGTGTGCCTGTGTGAGTGAGTGAGTGTGCGTGTGTGAAAGTGTGAGTGTGTGTGCACATGTATCAATTGTGGCAAATACGGGAAAAATAAACAAGGCAGCAAAGCTGTCAAATGTACAGACAAAGAACAGAAAATAAAGATGCAAATAAGTGAAAAATTAAATTTTCACAAAAAACTGTTAAATTGCCAGAAAAATTTACCAAACAGACTGCGTTGCCTATTGAAGCTGTATGTTAGACCCATGTTTCTTTCCTGTAAGTTTGAGAACAGTAAGTGACATGATTTTCCTTAAATGGTCATCATGGAAGCAGTGCCCAAAATAGGAGTTTCTTCAAATTTTGATGCAATATTACATAATGTTTAACAGCTTAATGACCATCAATTTTTAATTATAAAATATTTGTTTCACAGATATTCAGAAAATGTGACTAGCAA